TCCGTGTCAGCTTTCTCTGTACTTTGTTTCTCCGGATAATTGTAGCCCACAAGTATCATCGGGGATGCATACTTTTATTCATAGCCGGTCAGGCTATATTCTCACCAAAATTCCAAAACACATATTGTGTGAAAGTACCCAAGGCCTGTGCATTATTGATGGTTAAATATTGATTTTTGATGGTTAGATCTCTATATTTCATGATTAGTCCGATTATCAAATTCACATCTTGGATGATTAAATCCACAAATTTGGTGATGAACTCCACATGTTTTGATGATTAAATCCATATGTTTGATGGCTAAAAACCACATTTCTGCTGGTTAAATCCTCTATCCAAGGCGCTCAGAGTCGACAAGGCGCCGGCCGATGCCTGCGGACGTAGGCTGAAGCCAAACAAAAATTGGGAAAGTCTATAATATTATGACAATGATACATATCTCATGATAATGACAATATATAGATACTATGATCACTATGATCTAATGGTTATTTAGGACATTGTTGTATACCCCTCTGGTAAACTTACATAGCTATTGAAATTTCCCATTGTGGCCCATAGAAATAGTTGATTTACCGAACTTAAAGATAGTGATTTGCCAGTTCGCTATGTTAGTTTACCAGAGGGTAAGCGAATGGAGGTAGACTCAGAGATCATTTGGGGATTTCTCAAAATGGTGGATCCCCAAAACCATGGCTTTCAATACTAAAAGAATTTAATTTTGGATGATTTGGCGGTACCACCATTTCAGGAAACGCCCATTTACACATGAGCAGTGTTCAAAACCATCCTTCGTTTCATTATACTGGCTGGTGAATAGGGATTCCTCTAATGCGTTATTATGCGTCCCTAATTAATATATATATATATACATTATCATCCCCTAAAATAATCAGCCAACAAGGGTTTTTAACACTGCTCACATGTGCAACCTAGGTATAAGACCCAGAACAAGAACAGAATAAATCATAAGAAGTACACTTTTTCTACAGTAACCATATTTGTTCCTAGGACAAATAGGGGATTTGGAGGGTATACATGGCTAAACGTTTTTTTCTCAAGTACCATACCCACATCAGGATTTGTTATGCCATGTTTTTTCTTGGGGGATCAATTCATAGAGGAGCCAGGCTGCGGCTGGCAATGGCATGCCGTGAAACCCGAGAGAACATGGCCAATATTCGACATACCTCAACACTTCGCACAGCAATTTTTATACCATCAACTCTCCCCTGAAGAATGATAAATATCAAACTTTTTTATGCAAAATTTCGTGAAGTTGTATAGAAACAAATCAATTGGCTCCAACCATGTCCTGCGCGTTAAGCCGCCAGGTGAATCCGCACATTTTTCTCGCGGTCGGTGATCGATTCCGCGAGGTGGGCAAAGAATTTTCCACCCAAAAGGGGCAGCGTGAGACGGGATGGGATTGCCACATGGGCCCTCTGCGGAGGACTCCCCTACGGCCTGGTTTTTGTTGGCTGCAGGGCAACACACATCTGTCTATGCCGATGGTTGATCCAGCTGAAGAAAATCTCACCAACATGCTCGTCAATTGGGATTATAATATATTATAATCCCCTCTACATATATGGGATGGATTGGGATGGAATATACTTTTTGCATCTTTTTGCCTATTGAAACCAACAATCAGATCTATATATCAACATGTCAATGCGTCAACAGCTCCGGTTTGTTGTCCCAGGCCTATCACTACTGAGTCAACTGAATTTAAATTCAACTGATAAATCAGGGAGCCACCGCCAAAACAGCGATATAATAAATGAATATACTGTATATATATATATGATTATATATGCATATACCATATACATACATTATATTAATATTATTATATTATATATTTTATATACAGTAATCTGATGTAATCTGGCGCTTATCAATCGCGGGTTGACATTAGAAGTGAACCATACCCCACGTTAGGTTGGCTGGGGGGCACCACTTGCTCACCAGTCACTTCGGAACCCTTCACTATAGCACTTGTTCAATCTTCCAAATCTTTGGTGTTACAACCCCCAACAAATCTTACAATTACCAACTGGTTGGTGGTTTAGTCAATGGGAAGGATTATCCCATATATTATGGAACATAAAAAAATGTTTGAAACCACCAACCAGCCAACAGTTGTTGCTTGAACTTGCCACTTGTGCTGCGATATCCAAATAGTGCTGTTGATCAGCGCCCCTCAGATTCTCAGCACCACCATCCTAAACATTGAAGAAATTCCATTTGGATCACCTTTGTGCCGCAGTCAAGAACCCCAGTTAGTTTATGATTTTATGAGGTTCTGCATGTGTATATATATATATGAATATATATATATGAGTATATATATATATGATTATATAATTATATATATATATATGTGTATGATTATATATATATGATTATATATATGTATAGCCAGCAAATGGGGGATTTGGGATTCGCAAAATCAGCTGCGGATACCAACATTGTTTAGGTATGCTGCAATAGTTTTCCAATTCTTCATTGTACATTACAGCACTCCCAACAAATCAACTCCCCAAACGCAAGGGCGGAAAAATGGCTGCAGTAGATCAAGAGGTAAACTTGATTCTTTCCCTCAAAAAAGTAGCCAAGCTATAACTTTTACCTTACCGAACAAAAATTCTGGAGCACCCTTGATATTTCGTTTCCTACTTTTTTTTCCTATCAATTTTTGGGCCCATGTTGGTTCAGCTTGCGGCCTGGTTCAGCCTCAGCCAGTAGTTGGCCGGTTTTCCGGGTGTCCAGGCTGGGAAATGATGCCGTAGCCTGCAAGTCAAACATGGATGCGTATCATGCAAGTCAATAATAAATGTCCAATTTTGGTTAGTTTGTATAGCATCTTATAGCAACTATATCTGGTGAAATTGAGAACCGTTTATTATTTGGTTGGCTACATTGCATGTGTGTGCAGCAGCACCTCCATGAATTCGGATTGCTAAACCCAATCGAAATTGCACCTGGGACAAGTGTTGCATATAGAGTATATAGACATCATAAAACATGCCAGCAAATTGAGCGGAAAGTTAAACACGTCGTTGTTTGTTTGTTTTCAACATGTGGCCCACAGAATTGGACAAATGTAACACAAGCTTTAAGCCATGTTGATTTTCAGCATGTTTCCACAGAAAGAAGATTGGTGAAACATTTTTTTCATTTTTTTTCGGTGGTACAACCCACACTTGTATAGCATGAAACCACCAACCTCGCTACCATACACAGCAACATTATATCATATTATATCATATCCTGTCTGTAGCATTCCTTGCCGCGCCCAGAACCCGTGATGGAAAACCGACCAGATTGAAATGCTTTGACGCCGCCGCGGTGGAATCGGGAGAACCTGCCGCCACCTCATCCCACACGACGCGTTTGCATCACCAGGAGCTCGGCAGAAGGAGCTTCACTGGGGCGATCTAAGATCGCCTGTATCAATGGATTAAGATTTAAGAGAAAATTCACCAGTGGAGACATGTTGAAACATGTTGAAACCATAGGTTTTTGCCAATATCGGTGCCATAGGGTTTTCCAACATCTTCCAATTCTAGGAATCAATGCTTCTAATTTTAATGGTATTTTAATGGTTGCATAAAAATCAATATTAACTTGACATGCCGCCATAATTTGTTCATTTTGTCCTTTTGATTGTACAAACATATTGAACCATATTAACATGTCGCCCTTTCAATTGCCAGATGTCAACAATACGTTTGACATGATTGCACAAATTTGGCCCTTGTGATTGTGTAATCAATGATGGCACTCGGTCCTTTTGATTGTTGACGATGTTAAACCATCCGCTTTGAGCATGTATGCGAACAGAAAAGGAAACCAACCATGTCATTTGTTGTCCTTGCTTGATTATTGATGAAAAACGACCACTTCAAAAAAAAACTCTAAGGCTGGTTGGTGGTAAGCTCTAAGACTGGTTGGTGGTTTGGGATCCTTTGGGACCATCATCCCAGGCCAATGCTACGGCAGTAAAAATGGCAGTTTGGTGCTATCAATTTCTGAACTGATGTTCATAAACATTATCTATAGATATAAACTATATATAGATAGCTATATAATTGATGCTATCAGTTTATATATTGCTATGATTATCTATAGATATCCATAGGTATAAACAAAAAAAACGTGACAGACACACGCAACCTGCAGTGGTGCGCGCATGCGCAGACGCACGCTTCCAACATTTCCTACGGTCTTCTGCAACGAATTCTTGCCATGCTCAAGTTCTGTGTCTTGTCAATGCATATCAATTGTCACTGGTTGGTGGTTGACCTACCCCTCTGAAAAATATGAAAGTCAGTTGGGGCTATTATTCCCAATATATGGGAAAATAAAAAATGTTCCAAACATTTCCAAACCACCAACCAAATATCAATTGTCAATGTGGACTTCAAATGGGATCTATATGGATACTGCGAGAGTCTTCAACCCAGGCCTCGGCCCCGGGTGAAAGCATCCAGCATGGCACGACTCGAATTGCAGGCACACACGGCGACCAGCCATGGAATTTGAACACTGAACAAGTGGCTCAAATGCTTGACCCATGACCTATTGAGCTACCCAAGCTTCACAAATATACCCGCAACATGCCCGGTTAGTACCTCCAATCCGTGTGAAGAAAACTGGTAACTGCACCAAAGTCTTGCCACATTGGGTTTTATCAAGAAACTGAAACAAACAAATGCAGAATCGTTTACACACATATAGAACTCTCTGTTCGAACCTGGGCATCAGATGCATCAGTGTGATGCCAAAATAAAATCTTGGGGCCCCACGAAGGAGATGGTGGTTTCGGAGTGCCATCCCTCGATGGTCTAATCCTGTCACCCCATGATATGAAGTTCCCCGCTATAGAAACTTATAGTATTGGACCTGTTCATCTCGGGCCCCATTCAAGGGACTTATCAGTTTGAGAGTTGGGGATGTGACTCACTGTGGTTATTTTCGTTGAACTGTTCAAGGGGCTCAGTAAACGTTCCCATGTGCTGGAAATTCCGTGTGAAATGTTCACAGATTGTTCGGCAACAGGACTCATCCGGACAGAAAGATTGTCTGGCACAGCGTCGGCAGAGATACGACTCCAAAGCTTTGAAAGGAAACAAGTAGAGATACTTGATTCCGCTACAAGATTTACAAGGCTGTAACCAAGCATAATTGCTATCCGTGTCTATCACATTTTGTCGCTGCGAAGATTCCATGTGAAGATTCCATGGGTGCACGCCATCCCCAGGCGCCTCCATCACAAAAAGAGGTCCAAAGGGTTCATCTGTGTCGCCATCCACCAGCACCCACATCTGAGTAGGGTCCAGGTGTTGCTAGCTTTGGGCTGTAGGTTAGCAACCTACAAGATTCACACGGACTAATGCATTCACATGTTGAATAAATGAGTGGGTGTGGGATGTTGTAGGGTGGAAGGTGTAGGGCCAGGCGCGGCTAGCTTGTTGCCAGCTAATGAGGATAGGGTCAGCTTGGGACCAGCTTGGGGCTTCGGTTCCAACCTTACAGGGTTCATAAATTGCAAGGATGGCATCAAAGAACGGAAATATGGGAGGGTGGGCTAGCTGCTTGGTGCTAGCTTGGAGCCAGCTTGGGACTGTAAGTTGCTAATGATTCCGAGGGTTGCATCAAAAAATGAACACATGGCCAGATCGACTGGCCAGGGCTGTGGATCCCTGAGGCAATCAGCTTTTAGGAGGCAGCCATTGATCACTGGATCACAATTGATCACAAAGCCACTGGTCAACCAATGTGAGCCATTTCAGATGTTGAGGTAGACCGGTACACCGTAGTGTATACTAGCATACAAATGCATACAAGGTGAAGCCCCCAGATATCATATAAACCCCATTGCAGTAACTATAGTTGGGAATCCCCCGTAAATCCAAACATTAACCAAATTATGACTATGTGCGTCAACTTAGCTAATTTAGCTATCGTAAACCGTGGCACCCCGCGTTGTAAACCATAGGTATTTGGCATGTCCGTTCTTGTGTTCCCTACTTCTTTTCCATAGGATTACCCGTTCATTAAAACCCAAACAACTCACCCATGTCCACTGTCTAAGCCCGTTAATTCAGCTATAAACCAGCTACAACTCCCTTAAAAAATCACCATATGTTGGTGAAGTCAGCATTTTTCCCAGGGAACTCACCATGTCCCAAGGCTGGCCACGACTTGCCACGCAAGCCACGCAAGGGCCGCCAAGGCGCAGTTCTCATCATTGGATTTCCATCTCCTTGTCCTCGATTCGGCACCTCAAGCCAAGCCACACATTTCTCGTCAAATCCCAAGTGAAGAAGCCATAAGTTTTTGCTAGTAATGATATGACCTTAATCTTAAACACCCCATAAATGGATATAAATGGTCCCAAGCAAATGAGGAAATTCCCTACTAAACCATGTTTTTTAAGGGGGTGTTTAATATGAACGGGGGAAGGGATTACTTATCATTGATTGATATTTATTGATATTTATTATCAAATATATTGTATATTGCTATTATTCCTCTGGAGATCATCACTATAAAAACACCTTGAATGGTATGATCAATTGTCTTCATCCTTGATGAACATGTGGTTTCATGTTTGATGAACTTGGTATGATCACCCGAAATGATCACTTGGAATGACTTATTTCATCATCTTGATGGTGACATGAATGTGCCAAGTTGATGAACATATCAGAAATGATCTGGTTGGTGGTTGACCTACCCCTCTGAAAAAATATGAAAGTCAGATTGGATCATCATCCCAAGTATTGGGGAAATTGTTTCAAGCCATGTTCCAAACCACCAAGCACTGATTGTCTGGTGCCTAAATGGTACCCGAGTTGATGAACATCACCAGACTCCCAGGCGAGTCACTGTCGACACCCAGGTCCCCCAGGGCAAACATTAAACCACCCAGCTGAGGTTTACTTAGAAGCTTGAAGCCAGGCACTAGCAGTACCATATAGTACCATTGTATATACCATGTTGGCAAATTGGTATAACTCACGCAAGATCCGAAAGGTTCACAATTTCTGGGAGGATTCCATACACATTATTTATATATATATATAGAGATATCCGTCATGATGAAGTCGGCCAGTGAAGTCAAACATGTGATTTCAACCAGCAAAAATTGGTCTTAAGCAGCAACATCTGTATTCAATACCAACCAGGATCACACAAGGGACTTGCAGCAACTGCTAGAAACGGGGGTATCGACCAATCGTCTTAACTTATGATAATCACTCACCTACTAGCTTTAGGATAGTTATCCATTCCCACGTAGTGCTGAGGTTGATGAAATTTACCCAGAACATACTGCAGAAATGGTACCCACCCCTTTTTCAAACAGCCCAGGGATCAACGTTCATGCGGGGTTGACAAATGGATGGTTATATATGGTTATATACGCATGTGTATGCATATTTTATTTCAAATACATATGCACAGAATCTATTCATAACCTCAGGAAATATCCACGTCAAGTGGTTGGTTGTACATTCCACCAATTGGAATTTTGGGAAACCTGAAACATTACCAAAATCATAATCATCAAATGGTTGGTTGCAAATCATGGCAAGAACCGGGAACCCTAATATTCGTATGCATACCCATACAGGGTTTTGTCCCTTACCGGCCTTACCGCAAAATGGTTTGTAACCCCATCTAGTGATAGATGTATTCCCCAAAACCCTAGATACTGTAGTTATAAACCAACTTAGCTACTAGTTAGTACCGACATGGGGACCACTGACCACATTAAAATCGTGATCTCATGTTTTTCTCCATTGACAAATGATTCACTCCATTGTCGTCTCAGGGATATCAGCAATATTTTATGGATGATTAAGCCATCTATGTTCTTCATATTGTCGCCATCAATGTCAACCCCGGATAAATAAACTCGCTTGGTTTATTTGGGGGGTTCTTCCAAAATAGTGATAAATTACATTAGATGATGGGTAGCCATTAGATGAACAACTACTGATTTAGAGTTACCCCATGTCTTCAGTGAGGGTTTCAAAGAAACTCTTGGATTAACAACGACTTCGCATTTTTCATGGGCCCCAAGGAGTATCATTAAAATTGTCAAGCCACGATTACAGGGTGGTACAGTATCCCCTAGTTATGTTTGTTGGCTCATAACCCCTATCAACTAAGGATATACTAAGGATATAATATGATATAATCTCCATGAAACTAGTGAAAATGGACTTGAGTTCACCATCTTTGCTAACATACAGCTATAAATCCAATGAAATCCCCCCCTCTTGTTGGTGAAGTTGCTATTTTCATCTTTAATGTCTACATATGTGTACCATGGCTACCCATCAATGTCAATCCCATGGCGCCATGGCTATACCGACCTCCAGCTGCAGGGTCAAGTCGAGGCGTTGTCCCGGATGCACCGTCTGCGAAGTCTGCCTGAGTTTCATGACATGACCCATAGGATCCATGTATGGTATATATATATATATATGTGCTAACATTGGGGGTATATTGATGGTAAATGTTACCATATATAGCATACATGGATCCTATGGGTGATAGCATTGGATTCGATGGGACAATTTGAACACCGGAAGCCATCTTTTTTTGTGATGGTCAAAGCCGCTTTGGGGAATTTCGGTCAAGATTTTCCCTTAAACCAATCCAATGATGATACCCTCTGGTAAGCTAACATAGCTATTGAAAATTGCCAGTTATAGTGAGTTTTCCCATTATATAAAAAATGTGATTTTCCATAATTATGTTAGTTTACCAGAGGGTAACATCAACAAGGCCAAGCCCCAAAAAATCCCACCTGGTCAGCAGTTTCTGGGCTCCTGACATGGCGGGGCAGCCCATGCCAAGGCCGTGAATGAGCCTGGCAGTGGGCGAACAGATGATTTTTTTCAACAAAAACAATACCCTCTGGTAAACTAACATAACTATGGAAAATCACAATTTTTAATGGGAAAAACCACTATAAAACACCATTTTCAATAGCTATGTTAAATTACCAGAGGGTAAGGGATGACCCACCAACAAAACATTACAAAACATATGGGATTGTTTTATTCCAAACAACCAAGTGTCGAAGACAAATCAAGGGGGTTAAGCCAATGAACCTGAACACTATTGCAAACTTACATATCTACCCGAAAACGTCATCAGGAAAACACCTTGAACAGCTGGTTTTTTGCACTGGAAGTCCTACATTCGACCTTCCCTGAATCGTGGGTTCCACTGGCTTGAGACCTGTGCAAGAATCCCGCAGAATGTTTCACCAAAATAGGTGGCCCCATTTCAAAGTTTATTTTCTCGGGATCATATTGGATTTGCTTATTGCCTCAATCTTCAGATGGCACCCATTGGCACCCTACAATAACAGTAGCATACAATCTCACTACTCACTACACTGCATGTGATTTCCCTCGAAATGAACGGACCTTTGGGATACGTTTGGGATTTGCAGACCTTGCACATTTGCCTAAACTGGAGCAACTCTTGGTTAGAGCCACACCTGTGTGATCGTGATGTTTTTAGTTACTGACTACTACGTTTTACAACCATAGACTTGTTGTGGGTTCATATCCATACGTCTGGGTTTACATCTCTATATTTAATGTGTTGGTTCATAACCGCATGTGTGGTCAACGTCATCTTGTTTCTGATCAATCACTAATATCACTATTCTTGTGGGTTCATATCCCTCCTGTTCGCGGATGAATGCCCAATGGTTCATCATGGTTTATCCTCGTGTTTCCGTTAAAATAGCCATGGGGTTACTGTAAAATACACCATTTTCAGACAGGCTCAAACATCATATCTAAGTTGGTTAGTTATTGCATACATTTACCCGTAAATGTATACTTTATGTAAATAATATCCCGGTATACCATCTGGTTATTTAACATAGCCATGGAAAATCACAATGTTCAATAGGTAAACCATCTATAAATGGGCCATTTTCCATGGCTATGTTAAATAACCAGAGGGTATCTGACTTATCATATTCCCATGATTTCCCATTGTTGGTTGAATCCACCATGCTCACCATGCGCCCCATATTCAACTCGTCGAGCAACTTGAGGCTAGTCTGCTTATTCCAGATTCGAAAACCGGTGTTCACCACTCCAACGACGGCTTGCAAAGGCACCTGCCGAGAAACGAAAGGAAATGATCAGGTCATAGTCATAGCTAGACCCTTCAAATACCAAAAAAAGAGTAAAAATACCAGAAGTCATGGGTTAAAACATCATTCTTAAGGGTACAAGCGCAGGGTCTAAGTATAGTCAAACAGCTCCGTCCATATCATGGCTACCTACAGTTATATAATCACTATATAATCATAAAGGAAGCGCAAGCTGCCATGCAAAGTGAAACCGAACTCACAACGGCCCCCAAGAAGGCGGCCACGCCACACACCGAGAGACACGGGAAAATTAGCTTGCTGCATGTCTCAAACATGTGCAATTGGTGCGACACTTGTGCCAGCCCACAATGAGAGGGCTGCCAAAAGGAAATCAATATACTGTACGAGCCAATATAGCGTCCAAAAAGATAGAAAACTTGGAAACCTTGAAAAAAAATAAGGGGGAATCATCGCCTCTACCATCCTGGAAATCTGATTGTTTCGCCACATGTTTTTGTTTTGGGGCATTTCCAATCAATAATCAAAGATGGGCGTCGGAATTCGACCACGATCAACATGGGGCAAATGACCTGCAGCATCATTAAGTCGCTCCCAAAAATGGGTCGCTCGGGCAAAAGATGCACCCAAGGGATGTTCCCGAACACAGAAGTAACTGAAGTACACCCAAGAACTGCCACAATGAAAGAAGGCAGTTTATGAAGGATCATCCCACTTAAGAAACTGGTAAGCCTGGTGATCGTAAGTCTCCGATCCGTGGCCGTCTGCAAATGGGTTATACATAATTTATTTAGAAACCAAGCATTGGAATATCAGCAGGATAAATCCCAATCAAATCAACAAAGATTACCCGTAAATTAACAGTTCTTTGACCCTGGAAAGAAGCCATTTTTAGTAGAAACTCATCTTCCCCTGTCTGGCAGGGTCTATGTTAGCCGACCTGTCGATTGGTTTCTTAGCACCTGCCGTCCATCGAGGTGGTGTTTGCGCACGAGAAGTCGCAGGAAGCGAAAGGCCTGGCGTCAGGCAGGCGTTGATGGCTGGGATTTTTTCTTAAGAACGGAGAAAATCAAAAGGAACATCAATGGAACATCAAAGGAATGATATGGGAAACAAATACTGTAGTGGGAAAGTATTGGAAAATCATCGAACTAAATGGAGAATGAGAATGTCATGGGATAATGTGAGATGGCCGCGTGGCCATTTCTGAGGCCGTGGAAGTTTGTTGTTCAGCCCGGTCACGGGTGAACCGGTAGCTAGAACGAGTAGATTGTTACAGAATTGTTAGAATAGATATGTGTTCATATGCGACATGCGAAGAATTTGAGAATCACCTGAACGTGTATCAAAAAAATGGCGAATCAATTCAATATATATATATATATATAATTATAATATATATATATATATATATATACAGTACCTAAAACCCAGTACCTTAAACCAAACATTTAGCCACAAAATCACCATGTTCAACATCTCAAATGTTGGATCACATATGATCAGATCCTGGATGATGCGGGCCCGATGCCGATAAATCATCTGAATTTCATACACCATACCATCCATGTATGGTATATCTCCTGCATTTACATTTGCAAAGGTACAAGAAAAGCCTTCAAGGTACCAATCCCACAAAACAGAAAACGATGGTGCAAATGACATCAACTCACTAGACTGTGGATGAATATGGATGAATGGCATAGGTACTAAATTTCAATCCCCTCTCTGGAATTTGCGTAAGGCTCCTCTCAACAAATAAACAGCAAAAACAATACCAGTATTAGTCTCCCGAAGTGATTGAAAAACGGATCCCCCATTGATGGCCATTGAACAAATTGTGAACCCGATTGTCTGAACCAGCAAATTATTTTTTGCGCAGCTTTTTCCTTGAATTTGAAGCTATCAAAGCCATCTCAGATTAAAATTCCTAGGGTCATATAATATATAACAATACATATATATATATATACATATCATAGGTATAGATATAGATATATATATATATATATACATATATATATATATAAATATTATACGCACATATCCCATGAAGTATCCCATAAAGTATCCCCCTTGCGGGCTGCCTCGGTGATCTTCGGGAAACTTCCTGAGACCGCCTGCAGACTGGCCTGGCCAATCGAAGCCATCAGGTCATGGTCAGGTCATGGCCACGCAATGCCCCAGTGGTTGTGTGTTGGGAAAAAAACTTTTTTTCCCATTAAAAATGGTGATTTTCCCATGAAAAATTGTGATTTTCCATAGTTATATTGATGGAAATGGGATGTATATATATATATATGTATATGATACTGGTTGGTGGTTGACCTACCCCTCTGAAAAATATTGGTCAGTTGAGTCAGTTGGGATGACAAAATTCCCAATATGAGGGGACGAATAAAACATGTTCCAAACCACCAACCAGAAAACAATCACCCCATGACCTAGAAGAAAATATTGTGATTATATAGTGATAATTATAATCACTATAGGTAGCCATTCATGGAGCTTTTTGATACTTAGACCCTCCGATTGTACCCTTAAGAATCATGTTTTACCCCATGACTTTTAGTATTGTTACTTTCTGTTTCTTGTATTTATATTTGGAGTGTCTAGGTATCTCCCATAAACGTATTACGTTCACCACCTTAGCTACAATTTGGGGGCCTTGCCTTTCAGTATATAACAAAAACTTATGGTACGTACCATATTATCATATTTGAGGGAATGATCATACATTTGTGAGCCATGGACTGCAGTGTGTTCACCACGATGGGGTTTTTGACACCAGAACGTCCCCAGTTGGTCGCCACCTTCATGGTTTCATCTTCGGCCGCACCCACACCAGAGGGATCCTGAGTCTTCACCAACATGCGGACTGAACCCGGAAAAATGGGGAACCATGAGAAATTAGGATTGAACCAAAGTTTGACCGACTAAGTTGGATTTAACATGATGGAAAACCACCACATCATCAAACAACATAAAACACAGCGAAAAACGAATAAACGCATTATGAAAATGAAAGTGCAAAACGGGTGTAGTTGATATTAATGACTTTATGTCAGTCAGCAAATCAAATAACCACCCAAGAGCTCCAAAAATTGAGATGTACCCACACAATCACCACATGCATCAAATACAAGCACCAAACGACTGAACTACAAAAGACAATTATTTGAAATACACATATTTGAAACACATATAGAAAGTGTGTATATATATATATATGTATAACTTATAACTATATAATGATTATATGCAAATATAATTATATATATATAGAGCTGAAATGACAACAGGAACATAATGAATCAACATGATACAGCCGCCGAAGAACCGAAATGTCGGACATGACTAACACCAAATCACCCTCTGCACCAGCGTCGCGGGCAAATATACAGAGGGGCTTTAGTAAAAAAAAACTGCACTTCAAGGGTTGTTATGGGGGGGGTACCATCTGGTTATGACTAACATAGCGAACTGGAAAATCCACCAATTTTCAATATATAAACCATCTATTTTCATGGGCCATCTATACCATGGCTATGTTAAATAACCAGAGGGTAATTCCAAGATATCCCAAGAGTACGAATCAACTGGTACCTATTCGGTACCTATCCCTTTCCGAGTAGTTGAAGAGAGCTGCATAGATGGGCATCGATACAAAAGTCCAAGAACCATCATGAGCAGCAAATGTCGGATGATGATGGATGATGTGGCTTCCAAAGTTAGGATTTACACACAGCATTTCATCTGCAAATCTGCATGTTTATCTGACTCAAGTCTTTGATTTTCTTACGGACAAAACTGATCACATTTTTCTGGCGTATAAGCGTATTACACCTTCCCAACCAAGGTTTGCCAGTGGCTTCTCTTCACCCATACAACAGATTTTTCCACCGTGAATTTGATCACACAAGTATCGGAGTCATAAACCAACAGAAACATCATTTTGAGGGTACTTGGAGGGTCCAGGTGTGCGCACACACACGTATATATATATATATATGTGTGCGTGTGTGTGTGACATTGTATGTATGTGTGTATATGATACCATATTAATTCACATCTTGATCCCCATGTGAGTTTGGTGAAACAGAGATTTGTCCCTTGTGAAATCATCAACACTGGGCCACTTTTTTGCAGTCGCCGAGTCACTGCCAGGAGTGCGGGGTGCCAAAGGTCTGCCCGAGTCACGCCATGAATGACCTGAGACGTGGGGATGTTCCAACATCACCATGTTCACCAGGAACAAAAATGCCACCTTGAGATATATCCCCCATCAAACCACCAAATAGACTTTGGCGGAGAAAAGGACCCCAAGTTCACCAACTCGAAGTTCACCAATCTGTGGTGCTGGATCAGGAATGATTGATCACAATTTTCCATGGCTCTGAGGATTGAAACCCCTGGTTGTTTTACCTCCGGTCATAAGAATTTCCTGCAAATATTTCAACCAAATTGGGATTTTTTGCGACTTGTCAACCGATTCATAATCCAACTCCACCTTCGACGAGTGCTACTGGCAGCTTGGCAAACAAGCTAACAACCTATCCTCATTGTAAATCCCAATTGTCGCAAAGTCATCCAGAGAAATCTGTTTTTTTTTTTGTGGCAAACCACTTCCCAATTTAGGGCTTGTAGATTTGTCACACTCCAATCCCCCTAGTCAGTTCTTAGCAACTCCCGAGTCAGCAGGGTTCCTATGGCTTGTGTTGAATATGAAATTCTGAAATGGAGAGGGGGTTATATACATAGCTTTGCAACAGTTTTTTCTCTTCGCTCACTTTGATGACATATGGATACCCATAATTAGCTCCGAACCGCTGCCCCCACTGGATAGTAAATACCAACCATTTAAGGGATAGACACAGATAAACCACTAGTCACTAGATTCCCAAGTGATATATAAATCAAAAATCATTGCTCAATTTCAGATGATTTTGATTCAAACCTCCATTTATAGAGGATTTCCCATTGCCATGTTTGATGAATTACCGAAGCGTAGGTATCTATAATTATTATATATATATAGCCCAAAACTATAGTACATCCCATTGTATAACTATAGTTTGTAAACCCGATTAACTAATAGTGATACCCCCATAAACCCAAACATTAAGCAAGTGACCTAAGTCAACTGCTGATGGTTTACATGTTTATGCCCATTACAAAAAAAAACAAAACTATATAGAAGTTGGTCTACTTATATAGTTATTGTTATTTTCCCATATATATATATTTATATATACACTATTCAAAACTTCATATGTATATATATATATATATACAGAAATATGGATATAGATATATAGATATATAGATGATCTTCCGAAGTATAAACCAATATAATAAACCCATCATATCCATCATTGTCCATATATATTCCATAATTTCTCATATTTTCCTATGATTTTCATCGATTTTCCGATGGATTTTCAAAAACCTCCCGCCAGCCCGCCTCGGCCGCCAAGACCTGCGGAGGCCTTGCTTGCACCTGGCGGGTGAAACAAAAGTTTCACTTACCATTGTATATAATATATATATATATATAGTATATATATATATATACTTAGTGTCAATGGCATATCATTAGTACTAAGTAGTATTAGGATGTCTATGTTTCTTTTTGAGTATGGCTATAGTTGTTTTTGTGTTGTTTTTTCATGTTCATACATAGCCTATGGAGCCAAGTACCGTCCCGACTCTGAAGTATGACTGGGGTATTTTTTCTCGGGGGGTTGATTAGGTACCTTCTGAAGTACCTGGATTTATAGGGATAAATTAACCATTGAACAAATAGGAAATTGCACCATTGAACATCGTTTAACCAACAGGCAAACCAGGATTTAAGCCCTTAAAGCAGTGGTTTAACAGTTTAACTGACCAACATTCCCTCTGTCAGGCACAAACACCTCCAAACCATGACAATTGTGAGATATTATATGCTGCTCAAAAGAAATATGTGTTCGTTAATGTCTCCATTTATAGCCAGAGTCAAGTACGTTACTAGTTGAACAATCAACCCAGAAACATGTTTCACAACTCAAGGCTCTCAACCTGACTCATGTTGAAATCAAAATGTCCGGGCTAGAAGGGTTCCTCCTCGTTTACACTCCCCTCATCAGAGGTAAAAATCCTTGTTTTGTTGGTTCGACTATGTTCAACTTTCAGTTCTTGTTAAACGTATGAATTTACGGGTTTTGTCTAGTCGACCTCAATGTCTACAGATTATGTTGGCAAAACCCCTGATGCACTCCGAATCCTTGTTGGTTAACATAAGCTGCGCAAATTACCATATACCAAACGATTCCTTGTGACCTTATTTGTGTTTTCTGCTAAGTGGCCTTTAGAAAGAGGTCAGTTAAGGAAACGAGCCAAAAAGTGGCCTACCAGTGACACGCAAGTGACACGCAAGTGACACGCAGGTGACACGCAGGTGACACGCAGACAGCCAATCCTTAAGTGACCTTTTCAAGGCTTAAGTGACCTTTTCAGGGTCCTAAGTGATCTCGTTTCATCCCACCTCGAAACCCCAGTGACACGCAAGTGACACGCAGTGACACGCGGAAATCATGTGATCAACCAGGCAAACGAGGTCACTTATGCATGATTGATCTTGTAAGTGACCGTTTGGCACTTTGGGTCTAAGTGGCTTCCATTAGAGGGCAGAAATAACTGCCTGGTACATCATTATACAGCCATATATCAGGTTGCGATACCACAAACCCACCATGGCCTTTTTTTGCGTTTAGCTGGTTGGTGGTTGACCTACCCCTCTGACAAAATATGAAAGTCAGTTGGGATGATAAAATTCCCAATATATGGAACCAACCAGTTGTGTAACTACCCTCTGGTAAACATACAAAAAGCTATTGAAAATGGACCATATTTATAGTTGATTTAACCATCACAAATGGTGATTTTCATTGATGTTCCATAGCAGAGCTTCACTGGGGCTCGGATCAAAGAACTCCAAAAAAAGCCGCAGAAGGAGCACCGTTGATGGCTCATCCCCATTGCCTAATGGTTAGTTCCCGTTGACTATGTCGGAGATAACCATTGTATAATTCTTTTGGGAATTACCCTCTGGTTATTTAACATAGCCATGGGAAATGACCCATTTATAGACGGTTTACCTATTAAAAATTGTGATTTTCCATGGCTATGTTAAATAACCAGATAGTAATCACTATAATAATTATCCAGGGTTTCCACTAAACTATATCCATTCTTTAGCTATTCCCACCTATTTCCCATGAAACCCGGCATCCCCAGAGCAAGCCAGAGGCACCGGTTGCACTGGTGGCACCGGTTGCACTGGTGGCACCGGTTGCGCTGGTGGCACCGGTTCCGCTGGTGGCACCGGTTCCGCTGGTGGCACCGGTTCCGCTGGTGGCACCGGTTCCGCTGGTGGCATTTGTGCTGGTGGCACCGGTTGTGCTGGTGGCACCGGTTGTGCTGGTGGCACCGGTTCCGCTGGTGGCACCGGTTCCGCTGGTGGCATTTGTGCTGGTGGCACCGGTTGTGCTGGTGGCACCGGTTCCGCTGGTGGCACCGGTTGTGCTGGTGGCACTGGTTGTGGCACGGATGGGACAGGAGCCGCGTCCACAGGCACCTCCGCCTGGCAGGTGGATCTTAATTACCCTCTGGTAAACTTTCACATAATAGCTATGGAAAATAACCATCTTTAATAGGTAAATCAACTATTTCTATGTGCCATGTTCATCCATGTTCTATGTCGCCCTGTAAAATTACCATAGGGTAATTGGGATTTAAGGCGAGCTAAATAAACACGTAGTTTAATGGGATACGGTGAATGTGGAGGGGCTGATGGAGTCTTAATGATGAACTTGATTTTACGATCAATCATTGCCCATGGCTTGCGGACATGGGGCGGACCCGCAAGGAAAATCATGGAACTTCACGGTGGCCATAGTTTCCAAAGCAAAAAGTTTAATTACAACAGAACCAACACATGTTTCAGACTCACCCAAAACTTTCAACATCTTTCGAGTTTCAAAATCACTTACCATTCAGCTGGCTTGATCAGTTTCCTATCACTGTTCCAGCATCTTCCACTCGACAGTTACCATCCAAATCATGGTTGCACTCCTGGAAGCTGTGGCTTACCTAGTTGGACCGATGTTGACCCTGTAAAAATCATGATTGGTTGGGCATGATATCATCTGCTCAGAAAATGGTATCCCCCCACTAACCAGCCCGAGGGCAACATTCGTCCCAGGTAGGCATTACAGAACTGGGTCGTTTAGATGTCTAAATATAAATGTATATATATATATATATATTTATATCCATATATATATATACATATTAAATCATATATAATCATATTAATATGCTCATAAAATATCCACATCAAGTTGTTGGTGATCAACCAGCCCCCAGCAAGGCCCACGAACCTGGCCTCCTGAAGCTCCTGAACCTCCGGAGTTCCGGACGGCGCTTCGGTGGTGGTCGTGGTGATTTCCGCCTTTCCAAAGCACTGGATCTTAGGCTTTTCCAATCTACCCTCTGGTAATTTAACATAGCTATTGAAAATGGCCATTTATAGTGGATTTTCCCATTAAAAATTGTGATGTTCCATGATTTTCCATAGTTATGTTACATTACCAGAGGGTAACTGGGCAACCAATCTTAGCACATGACCCAGGGTTGGACTTTCCAATCTGAGCTAAACAAACTCTTGCTTGCCATGTACATGTCACCGGCGCAACGAAATCATCCCAACACACACGAATTCTGTGATCATCCTCCATGTCCAAGTGGTTCACTATTGGAAAAAAAACATTGAAATGTCCGTGATTCTCAACAGCAAAAAAAACAATGATGCCTGATGTTTCTGCTCATGTTGTTTGAATGTCATGCCACTGTTTTATTCCTCAAATCCTTCTAAAACCAATATGGTTTCGTCACTTTTTTGGTGAAGGTTCACACCCTGCGGCTCACCACTTGGAGGTGCAACTCTACTTGAAAAGGCTTGCCATACTTTTAGAAGTTGTATGATGTTTCTCGATTGATTTATTTTGATCATACACGAATATTGCCTAGACCCTCCGCAAGTACCCTTCTGATAATGGTGGTTTTGTCATATGTTTTTAGTTATTTTACAATTTTTTTGGGAGTACTTGGAGGGTCTAGGCCCTAGGCAGTTAAAGCATACGAAAATCACATCAACACTTGGTTCTTCCAAACAAGGACACCCCCAGCAGCCTCCATGGTCTCACTCTGTGATCTCTGTGTCTCACTGGTCTCGGCCGCCGTGGTCACTGTGCTAGGCACCACGGTGCCGGTCACCATCGTCTCCTCCATCATCGATGCGGAGTCGGTCACCACGCGCTGGGAGTTCTGAAGCGATCCCCATGGATTTCGGTGGTACGAAGTGTGGTTCAGCTGGGCTAAAACCACAGTGAGAAGTGTGGTAAGTAGGGTAGTTATATATATATAAAACTGGTTGGTGGTTGACCTACCCCTCTGAAAAAAATGAAAGTGGGTTGGGATTATTATTCCCAATATATGGAAAAGAAAAAATGTTCCAAACCACCAACCATGTTATGTAGTACGTTCATAACTGGGGTTGTAACCGCCAGTTGTGTTCGCAGTGGGGCTCCTTGGATGACGTATTATATCATGCTACACTAAGTCATGTTATGTTAACATACTGTATGTCATATTATCATATTGCTTTACATATTATGTTATAGATATAGTGATGTAACAAAATTATATTACAGTACATATATGTGGCTCTCGTGTCTCAGAAACATGGGGACCTACAATTTTCAGTCATGTTTACATAGTCTTATGCAATTTTCACGGGAGTTAATTTGGAGGCCAACCTTTATGATACAGATATAATCACAATGAATATTAACGATAGTACTCGGGTTTCGAACTGTAAAGAAAACACAGCTGGGTGGTTTCAACCCTGTGGTGGTACACCAAACAATGAAATTACATGTTGTTGCTTATTCTCTATTTCTCTCTCTCCCTCTCTCTTTGTTTTCTGTTTTTTTTTTCTCTCTCTTTCTCTCTCTCTCTCTCTTTCTCTCTGATAAAAATATATAAAAATCATATATAAATATATGCATAATTATATAATCTATGAATCTATGCATAGCGCGCAAGAAACAAACTCACATCAATAACATGTGCACTCGTCCTGGTAGATCACCTCAATGGGCACCATCTGGCAGTATGGCATTTGGATGAGATTTTTAGCACCAATAATGGGATTTCTTGGGTGAGATATTGATAGGGATTCACCAGCAAACATCACACGTTGAACGGATATATAGCGATTTAGATGCGTGATTTAATTGATTTATGATCACACAATGGGTTTCATCCGCAAAAATGGGGCGTACCCTGGTGTTCACCAGCAGTTCAATCATGCTTTAACCAACACGGCGGTTTGCCTAGATTGGTACCAAAGTTGGTTTATGAACAATTGGGCAAAAACTTGAATTTTGTGATAGATACATATAGATACAGTAGAGCATTCTACTTCGAAAGGTGAACCACAAAAACCAATGTGTAGATGTGGGGTGCTCGTTGTGCAGGTCGATTCTGCCGTTTCAGGTCTTCGAGCAGCAAAGCCCAACGATGCATTGGTGCTTGGTCGTAGCCACCGGGAGCCATATGGATTCTCATTGTTAACCAACAACTCACCAGGCGAAGTTCTAGAGCCAATCTGGGCTCCAAAGATTCCAAAGATAGTACCATGATTGATATATGTAGCCTCGGAAAGGATCGAATCCAAGTACAACATCGATTCAAGCCAGGCCTAGCGAAATACAATGAGGGCACTGCAAGATAGGTAAGTTCGTGAGTTTATACTATAACTCCAAAAACTAATATGATACATTATTAGAAACATATTTCTCTACTTGAAGGGATGAAACCAAACCAACCAACACAATTGGGGCTGTCTACAAACCCGCCCTTTCAAAGGCTGTTTCCACATGAAACCGGTGGATTTCTGAAAATCAACCATCACCTTGGTTACAAACCCAAGTTTTTACCCCATGAAATATCGCCATTACATCTCATTACTGGTTGGTGGTTTTAACCATCTTGAAAAATATTAGTCAATAGGAAGGATTATCCCATATATTATGGAAAATAGAACGTGTTTGAAACCACCAACCAAATTATATCGCCATTAAATCCCAATATAATCCCAATAAATCCACATGTTAAGCTAGTTGTAAAGCTACATTGCCATTGGCACAGCAGCTCGCCGGCGCTGTGCATAGCCTTCACGACCACGGCAACCAGGGCCACGAAGATCGCCAGCAGCAGGGAGATGCAACGACAGGACTTAGAAAGAGCGTGTCTCGAGCTTATATGATGTCTGTATGATGATTATTTGTATATGTATTGTGTGGAAATATTAACCATCAACTATGGGATTTAACAATCAACCTGATGGATTTGTTCATGGTATTTCATGGGACTTGATGATAGTGACCCTCTGGTAAACCAACAATTTCGCTATGGAAAATCACCATCTTTAATAGGTACATCACTATTTCTATGAGCCATGTTCAGTAGCAAACTGTTGAAACGATAATGCTGATGTGGGGTAAAACAATGTCATTTTTGCCACAACCGTGACTAGGAATGGTGTTTGATTATAGCACCTATGGTGATTTTCCTGGGATGTTGACCATCCACCAAGTGCATTTCGCAACCAAAATATCATGTTCAGGGAACGTCATGGCCTATCAAAGTATGGGGCAGTTTTTTTAAAAACCAAGTCATGGGATACCCTAAACCCAAGGGTTGGAAAATGCTATCATACAATATCATACTCTAACGCCTCAATCTGGAAAAAGGGGCATGAATTCATAAAACAATGTTGTCATGTTGTCAATTTCAAGCGGCCCAAACAGGGAGTCTAACAAGCAAAACTAAGGGAATGTTATCAGTAAGACCGGTGAACAAATTAAGCAACATTAATCATTATACATATAAGATAATATATATATATATGTATGGATTATGTATGTACATATGAAAATGGGTCTCACCAACAACCAACGATTTTCGATTTTTTTTGGCAGCAAAAATATGAATGTGGATGACGATGACAACCACAATAATGACACTGTTCAAATCAGGAATCATACATGCAACCCTGAGAAATGTGAAGATGGCACACCCAAATAACTGGCAAAGTAGCTTTTCTAGTCATTACTTGCCCAAGGAGAGGCTTTGATGGGAAAGAAACAATAAAGGTAGCTATTTCAATGCCATGTCACCATTTCACCATCTTTAGAAGGAACAAACACATGGCCAACCTTAGATACCCAGCAAAACCTACCAAGTTTGAGGTTCGTAAATCCTCCTTTATAGCAAAAGGACTAGCTTAGAATAAACATCCAGGATTTACTCAGAACAATCTTCAATGGATCGGTTTGAAGAAACATATTCCCGAAAACAAGTTGTTTGTTTAACCTCGGACTCCAAATCCGTGTCTTCTGCTCCAACCCTGGGTCAACCTTGGGTCAACCTATATATGTATATGCATGTACGTATATATAAATATACGTATAATTATAATCATATATAATATATATATATATACATATGGTAAGCGGCCCCGCCAGGGCCTATCTTTTGGCTATATATCGCAACCCTGCAAAAGATAGAAAATATCCCAATCGAAGAAAGTGGTGATGAATAACGTTTCTATCTGGTTTTTGGTTTGCTACATATCCGGAATTCCCATCATAAACCCCTTTTGTTGATTGTGAAATCCCTATTTGTCATGGTCAAATCATGTGTTTTGCTTCTTAAATCATGTTACATCATTTATGAATCCATAGTTTGAGAGCACAGCCACGATGCTCTGAAAGCTGCTTAGATGGTGTGAAATCCCCTGCTGATCCGACATTTCGCATCGGCCCTGAGGCCGCCACAAAGCAGGAACTCCTATGGAGGGATGGGAGAGGCCTGGCTAGTAATGCTAGTACACAACCAATAAAGAACCATTTAAAATGATAACTTCACCAAGAAAAACAAGGATTTCATGCGATTTGTAGCTGATATATGTTAGCTGTTAGCTAAGGTGGTGAACATAAGTCCCATAACTGTTGGGTTGATGAATGGGGGTTGTATCGAACTAGTTCATGGGGATTGCCACCCTGTATTTCACCAAATGAGTGTATGAATGCACATGCTCTCTCTCTCTCTCTATACTTTATAGATGCCTAGCCTAGACCCTCTAAGTACCTAGAGCAAACAGCAAATATGCCCATCATGACTTGGTTATTTTCCAAATTATGTATAATATATATATATATATGTGTGTGTGTGGGTGGGTGTACATATAAACATATATTTACTTCTGTTTGCATCATCATTATCTACGACTCCATATATGAATGTATAGTTACAAGTGCTGTATATCCCTAGGCTTCCAGAGACTTCCTGAGAAGTTGCCTTAGCTAGGTTTGGGTAGTTCAAAACTTTCTCAAGAGGTGCTTGGAGGTATATGCATACATAACACATATATATATATATATATGTATGTATGCATGCATGCATGCATGTATGTATGCATGTATACATGCACGTACATATATTCAAGGCAGAAATGGGCCTGTCAGATTGTTCACCAACCGACACCAAACAATCTTCCTCAAACCAAATGGGGGTGCATTTGGTTCAAGCCGGAAATACACATGGAAATACTAAATGGTGATACACATGGAAATAATAAAAGGTGATACTAAAAGGTGATACCCGTAGTTATAAGTTCGTTTATGAACCCCATCATCTAAAGAGATATCTATACGATATCTACTAAGAAACATGGCAAACCTAGTTACACAACGTTTGGGCGTGCCACTTTGTAAGATGTCCAGTAATTACTTCATTAGGTGGGTGTGGGTGTGTGAAATAGGCGATTTAAGCCCCCAATTGTAGCTATCTTCATAGGGAAATAATGACCACTGGTTTGACCCTAGGGGTGCCCCATGTTTAAACAACCAAACAACCCCGTCCATGTAGAACGAGTAAACACCCATGGGAATATCTAGCAAGACTTCTAAGAAACGAAATGCAAAACCACAGCTGGAGCGCGGCTTCTCAACATAGTCAATATCAAATTGCCACTTCTCACCATAGTCACTATCATAGTCTCTATCACTTCTCATCATAGTCACCGGAATATACTTGGATGTGCATGCAAAAAGGGTTTCGTGACCTGTATAAAACCCATACAACTAGGTAACTATGGTTCTTAATCATGCACTTACTATCTTTGTTGCACATCCCTGAGAACTCTCTCACTGGCAACCCACATCGACGCCCAACACGCCTTGGCGGGGGAGTGGCGCGTTCCTGTCGCAACAGGATGTGCTGATCGTTTCAGGGCGATATCTCACGATGTGAACATGCGTTTTGGTTGTTTCGGTCATTTTGCCCGTTCCTATGTGTATATATATATATATATACAAACATATATATATATATGTGTGTGTGTGACCATGTTACGTATGTATCCCCAATTTACAGCGAAAATCCCAACACCCCAAATACAAGCGTGGAAAACTGGGACGATGAAGAAGAAAAAACAAATGTATCCACCCTTGTGGCCATGATTCACATATGATCATCATATGCCCAGTGCATGCCCATGTTTTGTCATAGGATTACAGTGTCTCTTGGTAAACCTCCACGAAATAAAACATAATCATAAAACATTATAGAACAACATTTGTCATGTTTCCCACTTCTTCATGGTTACATCGGGCAAACCCATCCCCAAACATCCCGTTGATGTGGTTGAACAACAATAAGTTCATCACCTCAGAAGGTACATAAGTTGGGACCCGCAGTCATAAGTGGGTCCAACTCCCATGAAAACTATAGGTATCAGATGTTATACCATCTGGTTATGACTAACATAGCGAACTGGAAAGATCCACCCATTTTTAATAGGCAAACATAGATAAATCCATCTATTTTCATGGGCCATCTATACCATGGCTATGTTAAATAACCAGAGGGTAAGTATCATAAAGATTGGGAAATCTCCATGGTTTTCTTGGCGACGAGGGGCCGTGGCGCCGCTCATGGCACGCTTCAGTTCCACCACCTCCTGCCGTAACTTGGCACCTTGCGCCGGCCCGGGGAGGGCCTTTGGTGGCTCGAACGCTGTGGAAATGGATGAAAATGGCCCATGTGGCCCATAAAATAGATTTTTAGATGATAAGAATGTCGATTTACCAAGCCATAAAATAGTGATGTTCCACGTGTAGTTAGTTATGTTAAGTAAACCAGAGGTTAATGTTCACATAACTAAAGAAATATACAAGAATAACAATTCTCAATCATCTTAATGCCAACAGCTGAAAACACATGTCAGGCGAAAGTAATTTTGTTCACACATACCTTTAACTATCAGAAACTATCAGTTGGTTGGGAAAATGAATTTGTAACTCCAACTTGCTCCCCATGAAAAATAGTGAAAAAATGGATACCCCTAGCTCAGAACAGCAGGAATTCGAAAAGGACTGGATGGTCAATAGTCCACAATAGTTCATGAATAGTTCATTATTATAATATATACCATCTGGTTATTTAACATAGCCATGGAAAATCCCTTATAAATGGAGATTTTAATGGGAAAATCATCTATAAATGGGCCATTTTCCATGGCTATGTTAAATAACCAGAGGGTATATATATATAATGTTGTTTAATATTCCACTATCATCCAATAATATCCCATTATATAATAAAATGTCCTCATGATATGTTTAAACAATGGGGGCATAAAAAATGGAAATCCATTACAGTAATACCCATTGATGGTCCACTATATCCCATTAACATCCATTATGTCACCATAAGATTCCCCAAAGCATGTCATGTTAAAGGGCAAAACAATTATAGACTATCCCCCAGTCAAAAGCGTGGTCATATTAATATAATCCATATTAATCTATATTAATCACATGTTAATCCCATGTTAATCTATATTAATCTATATTATGGCATTGTTTTTCCCATATTCATCTATATTAATCCCATGCTATTGGTGGTCACATTTAGACCTTGACGATCTCCGCGCTCTGACCCGACCGCCCACTTCCTGAGAGCCTGGCTCTCCTTTGCCTTCTCCTGTCCCAACCCCGGGTCCATGTGAGCTATCTTCATGTGGAAAAAACGCAATTTTTATAGAACAACATATTAAAACAAAAAAACTACCATAGCTACCCAAATAGTCCTACCCTCTGGTAATTTAACATAGCTATTGAAAATCACCATTTTTAATGGGAAAATCCACTATTAATGGTCATTTTCAATAGCTACGTTAAATTACCAGAGGGTAAATCTTCTTCTATTCTTTCGAAGCACTCCCCAAGCACTGATCTTTTTCCAAAGGATGGGAGGGGCTAGGCTGGGCGTAAGCCAAGTTCAAAGTATCCTGTCCTTATCAACCATCCGCGACTCATTGTACATTGATCAATGGGAATTATCCGTTTACTAAAACCATAAAAAAAAAACTATCATATATATATATATATAAATATAACTATTATAATATATATATATAAATATGTTTATCGAATTAAATAGCTCCATTTGAGTTTGTCTGAAAACACGATGCCCCTACTCGGTAGCTCTCCTGGTTAAGCATCACTTCCCCGATGAAACTGCCATTTTTCTTGGGTTCACAAAGATGTTCAATGGAAAACACGTACGGTGAGACATACCCAAATCAGACTATAGCAACACCCCCCAGTCATAGATGCCAAAGGGTTGAACCTAGAAAAACTCTTTGGCATCTTTTTGGGGACCTCCAAGTGCCCATGGTCAGTTCAACATCCCAAGCTGGGTATGTCACCTCAGTGTGCTACCTAGAAGGTCCTAGGGTCAGACTTGTTGGAGAAATCCTTAAAAAAAAAAACACCATAAATCCAGTCGTTGGCTGTTAAAGCCTAATTATAAACACACATAAGCCAACTTACCTGAGGTGTGTTAAATTCTGTGTGGACATCCCAGCACTATGAATGGGTTTCCAATCCATGGTGGTACCCAAAAATCATCACAAAATTGCTTAATATCAAATGGGAAAACCAATGGCTTGGGGTACTTGATAGTTTAAATAATAGTTTATACCACCCATTGAAGGTAAAATTGTCGATGGTGGATCCCATTTTAGGCCCAAAATCATCCAAGTCAAGTCATTAGATCATTTTAGTATTGAAACCTATGGTGACTTGTGGGCCCCCAATGTTAGGAACCCTCCATGATAATGAATGAGAATGTCTGGTAATTTTCAATTGGAAATCATCAACAAGAATCCCGTGAAATCATCAATCCGTTTCTTGGTCAACTGTTAAATCACCATATGTTTCTTGGTAAATCACCATATATCACCACATGAAATCACCATTTTCCCATGATTTTCCCAGGGCTTTTCCCGCTGGGTCCTGCTCCGAGCGCTTCAGGACCCGCGCCAGCTCCAAGGCCTTGTCACGGGGCATGCCTCGGATGGCCGGATATACGACGATAATGGGATTATAACTATACTGATGGTGAATGGGATTATGACTATGAAACATGGTGAATGGGATTATGACTATAGTTAATGGATGTTAATGGGATTTACTAGGACTATAATGGGTTATAACTATATACTATAGAGGGGGATTTCACAAGTTTAATTGAAAGTTAAGGTGTTAACATAATGACTTCACGCGAAAGAAATAGGACTTGAAGTGAGCTTTGGCGGCGTGAAGAGGTGGATTTCAACATATTTCAACTTGGGATGTGATGTGTACAAAATCTAATTACACCTGCAAATAATTGAGACGCAAAGTGTGACTGTTTTTGTTTCACCTGCAAAATGCATGTAAGAAAGGTGAAATTCACCTGTGAGAAAGGAATGAGCTGGCAAAAAATGGGACTCTACCTGCAAAACAGATCTGCGTCATCTCCTCATAGCCCTTGTGGGAAATTCATGGCAATTCAGCAACAAGCCTCAATGATTCGGATGGTGTACGCATGTTGATTACACCAACCAGATTCTTCAAAATTTGGGCCCTACAGAAACGGCCTCATCAGCTTCCCCACATTGATTCTCATTGCCCTCTGGCAATTTCACAGGGCTATGGAAAATGACCAACTTTTTTGATGTTTCACCATGTTTCACCTAAAATGATGATTTTCCACCACTGTTTCAATTTTTCCCAGGTCATGGTAAGCCTGGTACACTGACAGCTGTCGTCACATCCCAGGTAGCCCCGAGAAGGTCCCCGGACTATTCATGAGCTCGAACTGCCAATCCTGGGGAAGGCGTCGAACTTCTGCGGTGATCTTATGGAGGCATGGTCCTACGACATGGGATACATAGACCATCATAGACCTATAAACCAGGAAACTACTCTACCCATCTCTACCCTTCATCAACTTGAAACTCAAGGTCGTAAACTTCATGTCCGCTGCCCTGCCTCCATTCTTGTCCGGAGCTGTTGCCGAACTGCAACTCACCATGCTTTAGTGAAGTTACAATATGTGAACCACATGCACTTCACTAAAGCGGGCAATGATGGTTGAAGCACCAACACCAGGAACACAAATTTTCAATGGAGCCGCTGAGCCCAACCACTTTGTCCTTCGCTTTTTTGGTACCTTCCATAACAAAAAAGATATATGTATAATGACATATACCCATATATATATATATATGTGTGTGTGTGTGTATTCCCATTAAATGATCAAATTTCCCATGGCATTCCCGGTAGATTCCCAGTAGCTACTTTGCTGGGCTTCCGTGCATAGTGGAGGTCGCCATCCTCTGGAAAGGCTACAGTGGTGACCAGTGGTTATAACATGTTAAACATCCCAGAAACATGGGTATAAATTCAACGGGAAATAACATGAAACAATGGTATAAATGGCCCCATTTATAGTTGATTTACCTATTAAAAATGATGATTTATGAACATTATATAACATTATACAACATGAAACAACATGAACATGACATATAACTGTCATAACCATGATAAACATTGATAAATGGTGTTTTGACCAACAAACATCGTGGTATCATGGTGATATTATATGGAATCTTCATGGAATAGTACCTTGTTTTTTGGTTTCTGAACTACACCCCATTAATCTAATTCGATATATTTATCCACATTAACCAAAACCATTAAGCTACTTACAAACCAACTTCGCTATCTAGAGAAGGTGAATCTCCTAAACCGCCCCGAAGACATGGTCAATCTTCGATAGCCTCTATCCATCCGAGGTTGACCTGAGGGGCACACTGATCTATCCTATGATTATTTAACATAGCCATGGTATAAATGGCCCATTTATAGTTGGTTTACCTATTAAAAATGGTGATTTTCCACGGCTATGTTAAATAAGCAGATGGTAAATGTGTTCTTTTTGCTGATCCCCTAGAAGCTGAAAGTTGGAGGAATAAGTGATGTTACCGACCTATCTAACCTCAACAAGGCATGTTCATCCCATCAAAACAATCTACAAGTACTTGGATTTGCTCAAGGAACCCCATCCCTCCAAAAAAACACCTATAGATTCCACAAGTAGAAGATTTTCCCGTTGGGAAAAGCCACATCTTCAGCAAATCCAGGAGTATCGTCTGTCCAACTCGCAAACTTCGCGCCTGATCTGGCAAGCCATCTGTCGACTCCGCCTGGGGCAACACCAAGGAGTGTGTTTCAAACTTAGTCCCCGTGAAAATGAATACCCTCTGGTGAACTAACATAGCAATGGAAAATGGCCATTTATAGTGGATTTTCCCATTAAAAATGGTGATTTTCCATTGCTATGTTAGTTCACCAGAGGGTAAACAATTTGAAAACCAAAACAGGGGGTACACTTTATCTCAGTCCATTTTTCTAGGTACTTCGAGAGTCTAGGTATGTCCAGGCTGTCTAGGTAGTTTCCATCGATTTCCTTCACTCAATTATAGATGAATCAAATTCAATGTGATAATATTGGATCCATTCTTCAACCCCATATCCTTAGAGTCAATGGGTTTCCTCTGAGTTCTCTCTTGAACCTGCCCATGCTCCGTTTTTTTTCAATGCCTGTTGCCGGTTCCTTCCGTAATCCCAACCACAAAAACCTTAGTAGAATATGAATGTATGATCTCAAATAGTCTGAACCGATTTTGCGTGGGATTCTGTTGAATTGTTGGGCAGCTTGAGCATCCCCATAGGATCCATGTATGCTATATATATGGTAACATTTACCATCAATATATCCCCAATGTTAGCATATATACCAGCACCATGGATCCTATGGGATCTATCATTGCGCCTCTAAAGCTCACGAATCGTAGCTCCCCAAGGTTTCCCCCATGTCCCGAAGCCGGACAGGCGACACATCCCCACCTCTTCCTCCGGCTTCCAAACATCTTGGCCTCAGCCGTGCAGAAAAAAACGCCGAGCTAGTCATGGAAAACAGAGCGAACTGGAATCCATCACCATTGGAGGTAGATCATTGCAGTTATGGCCCTTTACCAGTTATAAGTACTTATAACCCCATTTATAGAATGTATAATCCCATTTATAACCAGTTATAAGTAATAAATGGCCTTAACTGTGATGATCATTGCCATGTGTAAAAAAACATTTTCGCTATTGTTAAATCACCAGAGGGTAAATCCAATATTGGGCGTTCCTGGCTTGCCATCAAATTGATGGTTCTCCCAAGATTAAGCCTTTTTCTGTCACGCGTGATCGTTTAAGGTCGCTTTCTATTGGCTCAAACCCATCGTGAGGAATGTTACATTTTGGGTTCAAGACAACCTATCGGCTTGTCAGCAGGTAGGAAGCCCATCCCCTTGCTCAACATCTTCTAATTGCAATCGCAAACCAGCTCGATCGTTTAATGTTCATTGCAAATATCTATCCAGCTGAATTACACCGTCCGCAAACCTGAAGTAAAGAACAAACTGCAGAACGGCACCCCTGTCAAATCAACAATGATGAGTTTCTTATGTGCATGTTTTCAAGTGTGTCTGTGTGCGAGTGTGAGGTCGTGATGTTGTTGTTTCTTCTCCAGATTGCTTTGAAGATAGTAGTTATACGTAAATATTAGCCCGAATATAATAATCAAACACACAGATACATGAATATATTATATACATTCTAGTTATTTAACATAGCTTTGGAAAATCACCATTATTACCCAGGCAAATCATCATAAATCATCTACAAACAGGCCATGTCCATCCATTTTCCACATTATGTGCGTATATATATATATATATATGTGTGTGTGTGTTAAATAACCAGAGGGCACATGATTTCATACACTATTAAAGATGGTGATTTTCCATAGTTATGTTGGTTTACCAAAGGGTAAATGATATAATATTCTGGGTAAATTATAATAATTCACTAACCTGAAATAAGGCAATTTTGGGATGATTCCTCTTAGTAACCATGATTCCAGGGCTCGGTCGCAGTGAGGTCGTTATAATTTACCCAGAATATTATATAATACATGGATATATATATATATATACCATCAATATACCCCCAATGTTAGCATATATACCATACATGGATCCTATGGGTTATATAACCATAAGATTTCATACACTTTCCTAAGCAATAGATTTCTACTGAAACAGCTTCATCTCGCAGCGCCGAAGCAAAGCTGTTCCAAACTTTTTTCCCCCGCCGTGTTGACAACCGCAACCTGCGAGATCGAAAATTTGGATCGATTTGGTTGGTTTAACCACCCGATTTGGTAGTCAAACATGGCACTTGAAAATCCGATTTAGTATGGTTTAAAAATGTTTAAAACCTTTCGTGGGGAAATCCGAACTAACTATATACATGGTGTATTTTCTAGCAAACCATGATGACCAGAGGGCAACCCAAATGGGGGTTCAATGGCTTGATTTTTCAACGAAAAGGTCATTGTGCGGGACATGATTGGGGTTTCATGTGGTTTTAATGTGGTTTAATGTATGCATTGTTTTAAATAAATAAAACAAATAAATAAATAAATAATAAATGTATATATATATATATTATATATACATGAATACAAACGTGTTTCTTTCAACATGTCCCTTCATCCGACTCTGGAACTTGTTGGATGGAACCTACGGAACCTCACGAACCCAGCGCCATGGCATCCGTAACGCAAGGCAATTTGCATGATGATCATGATGTATAGCTAGGACATTTGCAAAGGACACCTAGGCCATACAAGTACCATCCGAACAATGGGATGATATGAGACAGTAAACCATATGCACCTTTCTCGAAGTGATGGTATAAGCCATTCTTTTGGGATGTTTGCCCATTTGAAAATGGCTGGGAAGGTCCCACCGTCCCACGGTGCGCCCTGATCGGGTTCAGTGGCGATCTAAAGGGCTTTGCACGTGGTCTTACCTCGCTATGGATAGGGATGGAGGGACTGGGGGTGAGTTGCATATCTGAGAACAAAAACTGAACTTTGAACCGGGTTGCTACGATATCCACATTTCTTGATGCAAAATAATGTAGTACTTACATGTACTTACCAAAATGTTTTTTCAAGGTTGACTCGAAGGGGGTCGACAATGGATGGTTCAAATGGTCATCCAAACGAAGTTCTACAGCCAGCCAGCCGCTATAAACTGTGTATCAAAACCAAACGCATTGCATCCATTGTTACTTATGTCCAAAACCAAACTCCATCAAATTCCCATGTATCATGATATATCCCCATAGATATTCGATGCAAACAAACATCTCAAGTTCAGAGCTTATAAATCCAATCCAACCGGCTTTCACGGTCGCCATTCACCGGGCAGCCCATGGCTTCCATATCGCGGAACTTGCACTTGCAGCCTTCCTTCTCCTTCACGTAGCCCGCAGCCGAGGGTGGCGTGGCGCAAAACCTGGCGATGCCGTTGTAACTTAAGACATGACGTATTGATATCTATCCATCTATCGATCTATCTAATCTATCTATATCTAATCGAATCTAATCTAATCTAATCTGTCTATATATCGATCTATCTATATATCTAATTATCTATCTATCCGTTGATCAATCTATCTACTATATATAAACCCAAAATCATTGGGGTCATCTTCACCAACTTTGCAAACTGTGGAGCACCACCTTGCAGCTAAGACCTCATAACAGTCGGCCTTCTTGGGGCTGCATCCTAGTTAGTAAGTGGGCAATAACCATAACACAATCTCGTCATATGTAGAATATACCCAGTTTTACAATGCTATATGTGGGTTATAAAAATGCTATAAACACCAACAAAAAACCACCTACAAAATGATGGGATGCACATCCAAGGTGAAACTTATCTATATCCCATGATATCCCATTCGGTCTCCATTGGACCAAGCCATGTTTCAAACAGTTTAGTTTCCATGTGTCATGATTAGCTATATCACTATCACGTTTTTTTGGTTCAATGTATATATCAGTGAGTCACTAAATTAGTTATCACTACTTAGTTATATCACTATATATATATATATATCATATATCCATAAACATCATAGTGTCCCCGTGGTTGATGGGTAAACCCCATGGCCCCCTTTGTTGATGATTGCAAGGCTGACGCTGGCAGGCCACATGGTAAACTTCCCGGCATTGTCCGCGTCCGGCAGCGCCATGCACACGCAGGCGTCGGTCACGGGGCCGGCTTGTGGCCCACCCGCCCTGCCAGCACCAAAACGGGTCACCCAAGACTTTGGGGCTCCTGTTTGGAGGATCAATTAGTAAGTGGGGTTAGTTTACAACCCAGGAATCGGGGACTTCTTCACCGTTTTTTTTTGCGGATGATCCTCCAAGTGGGATGAACAAATGTGAAAACTTGGATACAGGGATTTTGACCAGTTCGATGTGCGGGCCCCACTTACTAGTAATAACCTTAATATATGCCAGCTATAATGTGGAAATATCACTATATGAACTGTATTCATGGCTTACAAACCACTTACTAACTGGGATGCACTCCCAAGCACCAACTATGCTCAACATGTTTCCATGGCACTTGGTAAAGGACTGTGCGCAGTAGTCGCAAGCTTCCGGCTCGGTCTCCTCGGTTGCCGAGCAACGTGTTCTGGATGTGGTTTTCTGCGGTGAATGGCGGATGTTTCACCAACAAATCACGAGAATCACGTGTATGTTCTGTTGTTTCCCTTTTAATTGCGGAAGTATATCACCACAAAACTCTCGAATGGGCTTCGCAAACATTGGGATAATTCACCAAACAATTTCATATCATTGGTGTATAAGCATGTTCATTGACCCTCCAAATGCCCAGCAACAATCTAAAAGTACTCTACTTAACGTTTAAAACACATTTTTTCCGGGTACTCGAGGGTCTAGGTAAATGAGTACATACATACAAACGACACACACACGCATATATATATATATACATGAGACATATGTATATAGTATACATATACATATATATATATATATTTACATAATAAAACATCAATATATCCTCTGGCAAATTAAGACATAGACCCTGAAAATCACATTTTTTGTTAGTGGAAATTCATCTGCAGGGCCAGGAGGCGAACGGCCCCAATTTCGCCACCGAGAGCACGGTGACGTTCATCTGGCGATAGCGGGGAGAATGGCTCTTTTGAAGGGAACATCATGGGAAATTCATAGGGAGAACAGAGAAAAATAGAACAACTATGGGAAAATCCATAGAACTTCATGAAGATATCATGGGGAAACATAACGAGCTGGAAAATCCCTGAGCAAAATGGAAGTTTTGATGGGGAAACTATCGAATTGAATTGGATGTTCCAGCAAACCATGTTTCACTACCGAAGGGTGTGTGAACATGGCTAGACACTGGCAAAAACACTGGTTGCTTCTTAAGAGTTCTTGCTCATCCATGATATTCCATGATTAAACATCTATAAACTAACAGTAACAAAGGGAAACATCAGCTTGGCCGGGCCCAAAAAACAGATGCAACATGATGTTAACCGGTTAACCCCTGGAATGATCCCAATGATCCCAATGATCCGGTCACTTTGGGACAGCAGGAACACCCAGATGCCACCTGCGGCGAGCTTCTGATGATTTCCAGGGACCTGAGTCGAGGTGAAGCAATGCGATTCGGCGAGTTAGGCCATGGAATTGGTTAGAGAAAAGGCCTGCCATGGAAACCGAAGATATCTTGAAAACCGCCAAAAAAACAATGATATATTGAAACATATTGAAACATATTGAAACCAATGATATCTTATCATATCTTGTCATCTTTTGATCTCCGAAACTGGAGATAAAACAGGAACTCGGCTCCCACAAAACTACGTACTTGTTGAAGGGGAAGTCTGTCATTTTGGGAACTACACTTTCCGGTGTCAACTCTTTGCGAGCAAATTGAGTCCCAACTGGAAATCCCTGTGCCCCTCTTGAAGATCCCAAATACCAACACAAGTTTGAGATAGACTATTTATGACTATTTGGATGTTATTTTGGGTCCTGACCAGCTCCTTGCATTTTTTTGTTCGTCCTATCCTTTCAACCCAGTCTTTTTCCTCTGCATCCCAAGTGTGGGCCCTCATTTTCTGCCTTGGATAACACCGACGATGCTCTATGAGGTCATGCGGGGTCTCTGTGGTTGGATATGATTGATTGATATTGATTGATTACAAGAAAATGGTGACCATCACATACCATCACTGTATCCTGTTTGAACCCTTGTCTTTGCTGGGCTTGCCCGCGCTAGCTTCTTTAAAAGAGATTCGATTCCCACCCTCTTGAGCCAACATGCTGAGCCAAGGCAAGCAGGGCAGCTTGCACCAGCCAACGGGCCATGACCTGAGATGGCTACTGAAGTGGCGGTTGGATAACGATAACCACTTACACTCCAGTGAAAAGTCACCAATCAATAAATGCAACAAATGTTGCTTGGCCAATGGCCAAGGCGGCTTCTCGCCCGAAAGATTTGATAAAGCGCGTCCTGGGACCCCTGAAGTTCACAAATATGTTAATGGTATATATTTATATAATCGGAGTGTGAATTGTCTATCCCAATAGATTTTCAGTTTTGACTCCTTAGGCCGGTGAAGCCAATTTCTATCGATGGAGAAATTCGATGATCCTAGCTGGTTGGTAGCTGCAGAGATATGAAAGTCATTGGCTATCAGCATGTGGGAAAAATAAAAGATCATTCTGTAGGGATGGGAAAAAATGTAATTGTTCAAAACCAAGAAGCATTCATTCAGGCTCATTCCTCCTACATTGAGGCAAGGCACGTCTAAACAGTTGAGCACGCACACATACACTCTTTCATTCCCCATGGGTCCGAGTGCTTGCCGAGAAGGTACTTAAAAAAAAATCCCCAAATCATACCCTAAATATGTCATCCCCCGTGATGGGTAGGTACCCTTACCATCCCTTACCCCACCATTCCATAAAAATCTGGTTTATGTACCCTCTGGTAAACTAACATAACTATGGAAAATAACAATTTTTAATGGGTAAATCCACTATTAATCGCCATTTTCAATAGCTATGTTAAATTACCAGAGGGTAATGGTTGGGTGCAGGTATACTGAAAGTGTTGCTGTCGCTACCGGCGCCTGCGAGCGGCGCTTTTGGCACGGCAAGCACTACGTTGCGGAAACAGCTGCAGTAAACGAGACCGAATCACTTCCTTAACAGAAATGGGCAGCATTTCAACCATCAAACATTGGGTTTTGTTTTTTTGGTTGGATTCCACCTGAAATGAGTTCAAATTGCAATAGCTGTTGCATTAATGTCAAAAATAATGATAATAAAAAGTAAGAATGTATAAATGACTATTAAATACTATTAATTGTAATTAATAAGGAGTAAAAGCAATCACGAACAAACAAATAATGAACAAATGACAACAAACAAACAATGATAACAAGTTGGTCAAAATCCGTGAAAACGTGGGGTGTTTCATGGGATACAGCCCAGCCACCCGCTGTTTGGGTTTGTTGCAAAATGGTCGCTTCCCATTTGCCCCCCCCCAAAAAAAATATATATTGATGGGTATCAATGCATATCCAAATCATCTACCTATCTACCTAGACCCTCTTAATCTCTTCAGCACCTAGCAAAAATTCTACAAGTCACATACCCATTCTATCCCATTTTGGACTGTCTGAGTTATGTGTTTCCTTCACCGATCCGCAAGGGATGGTTCCGCTGAGAAGTTCAGAAGTGGACAATACCAATGACTAAGACATTGGACACCTCCTCGTGCAATTGATGTAAGTGGATGTAAGATGATGTACATAAGTGGTTTTATATGGTTTTATGTTTTACATGATTTTAAAATTTTGTATGTTTTCCATGTCTCTCTCCCATATTAGTATCCCTTTCCAAGTTGGCCCGCCTTTTCAAACTGGTGTTCCAGCTGTCCATTGGGAAAAATCGGCGCGCAACGGGGCAGACTTCGTCAAACCCCTGTTCACCGTTTCTATGGTGTGGAAACTGCGGGGCGCATGCAGGGGCGTGGGCCCTAGACCGAAAATGTTCATGTGGTTGGGGGTTGGTTTAGCCACCCATATTCCCAAAATGCATCAGGCAATCGGGAGTACAGTGATGGAAGAAATAAAGTGTAAACCATACCGGTACCCAGCTGTATTTCTTTGGTTTTACACTCCACATGACATGTGTTGTATTTGTTTTTGTGGAATCTTCAGCCAATTCTACGAGGATTTGGGCCCTCTCTGGCCGGTGCCGTAGGTTGAATTGAATATTTCATGGACACTCGGCCCCAGTCGCGTCTTGGTTCTTCAACACCCAACCACGCCATGAAAAAAAATCGACAGCAAACAGCAAACAAAGCAATGCCCAAAACCCTTCCGTCAACGGTTCAACATTGGATGGTGATCCCAATAACATGAAATAACATTAGCAGAGAGCTCCTGGGATGCCAGGGAAGTCGCGACTAGAATTTATGTCCAAGAAATAAGAAGATCAGAAGGTTTCCAGTGGTACCACCAGGACAGCGTTGTTCAATAATCACACAAATTTCAGATGAGAAACTTCCAAATTGGGGCAAATGTCAATGAGCAACCTCAAGCTCAGAAATCGCTCCACACAGAGAGCATCAGCATCACTTGCTGGGAAGCTGACACACACACACACACCACAAGTAAACGGAGTAGCTAGTGGAACCATTAGATCACAGGGGCTCAGCATGGGAAGCATTGTGTTTGTGCACTAGGATGGCCCGGGGAAAGGAAGGAAGTGAGCGAAACAGCGTTTCCAGGTTCCAGGTTCAATCCCAAGAATTGGATGAGATTCCCAGGGGGCTCAATGTTGCCCAAAAAACAGGAGTGAAACTCAGCATGCTGGGAGTTTTTTCGGAGGCCGGGAGGCCGGAAAAAACTGGGGGTCGAGCTGCGATCCGGGCCGCTGGCAATGCGACTGGTTGCTGCTAGGCAGCCCGCAGGTCTAGAAAAGAAGTAGCTCGAAGAAGAAAAGGTTCAGAGAAGAATTGGCAGAGAGCAAAGGTCACGCAAAGAAAAGGTAGCGCACATAAGAAATAACCCAAACAGAAGCTGAGAGAAGGCTCAGCCCGCAGTCAATAGGGAAAGAGGATCAGGATGAAGAGGTGACTCAAAACAGACTCTGCCCTGGACGTTTTTCAGACATTGATTCGATGTCAGCAACCCGAAGGCGGCTCCGTACATGTCGAAAAGGTTTGCCACAGAATATGATCCAAACTTCCCCCCGGGACCGGTACTCTTTGGCATAAACCAAATAATGGAACTACATTAGACATCATTAGACCTTAAACCAACAGGGATATTGGGCATTGCATGGCATTGCTCATGTATCACTGTCGGAAACTGTTGGTCAGACAGAAAAAAGACCGTGGACATCTGGCCCTGCTGACCCGTGGGGTTTACCACAGGGCAGAGGCATATCCAGTCCAAGCAAACAATATTGCCACACAATGTGGGCCCCCAGTTGGCAAGGTTTCACCAGGAAATATTCGACTGTTGAGGTGATTCAATCTAAGAACATTCATTTTGCCCGGACAGGTCTCTGTCTGCATATAACGAGAATAGATCAACGAATTCCAATTGGATGGATGAAAAATAAGCCATCAAACATCAACAAACGGGGGCCTCACGTTGCATGTTCAACGTGCCAAACATGTGCAACATTCGGCGGATTCAAGCTGAAACAGGGCTATATGTTAACCCGTGTTAACACGACCTAGTTCACGAACCACAGTTTCTCTGCCAAAGTTGTGATACTGGTTGGTGGTTTGAGCCATCTTGAAAAATATTAGTCAATGGGAAGGATTATCCCATATATTATGTAAAAAATGTGTGAAACCACCAACCACATACCCCCCATGTTAATCAACTTGGAGTTACGAATGGAAAGAACGAACCTGCTTGAAACAACCAGAAAAATTGGCCTGCGCTCACCTTCCGCGGCTATGGGTCAAGAGAGAACTCCACGATATTGGCCACTTGAAAGACTTTAATGTTCCATGTTCTCCATCTCATGTTTGGCCCTACCTTGGTACCCCCCCAGCCCGCAACAGGATCAAGACATTCTTGTTGGCCCTCAATTTCCAGTGGCACGGCTGGAGGGAATAGTCGGAATAATCTTGGTTATTATCGCTCATTAATGCGATTATGATATCATCTCCATATCAGGTCTGGTACATATATATCTATACAAAATAGCACATCAATCTGAATGTCAACCCCCAAATAAAGATTTCACTTGCTACTTAAATGACACCTCGCCAAACAGCCCAAGGATTTACATTCAAAGTTGACTTTGGTACGCGCCTATTAAGAAACTCGGGGTTTATCAAAATCCTGGGTTGATCTGGGTTGATAAAACATGATAACAAGAACACTTTATCCCATATACATACGTAATCCAAACGGTTTGCTTGACGACTCCTATATAAGCTTGGGCTATTCTAACGACTGCGATCCAACATGATCCAACCAGGGTACCTTACCTCAGTCTCAAGGCCCTCAAGAAGTCGAAAAGTGGCAGGAGTGGCCGATGAGCAGTTTTCTTACCTAAAATTCATCGGAAAAAACACTGATTTTTGACCCTAGCGGAAATTCGTGAGGATTTCCAGGCACCATGTTTATGATTCGTGTCACGCGTTGCGCGGCCAAATCTGCGTTCAGGATGGCCATAGCTGGAAAACACGAGCCGGGGCAATCTAGATCTGGGTGTTATAATATACAAGTAATTACCATCTGGTCAAAGAAAGATGTTTTCGCCAAAGGTTCAGGTTGGATTGCCAAAGGGTTACTTCTGATCATCTGATCCGTTTGGACCATTTTGGACCCATAAATGGAGCCATGTAGAGACCCAGATTTGCCAATGTTTGCCCAACATAACCCCAGCCCTGGCATTGTGGAGTAGCGTTGGGCGTCGGATTCCTCAGCATCTTTGAAGAAACAGCATGGGATCACAGCTTCATCTTGAAGCCCGACCAACATCGGAGCAACAAATGGCATGGCTTTCAACATGCTCTTCGAAGCGATGTTGAGGTCGTTGAGGTCGACATGGTGGCGTTCAACTGTAATCATGACTATAGTTAGGATTGATACCCTCTGGTAATAACTGTTACAGTTTGCTATTGACCATGAGCATAAAAATAGTGGATTTAGCCAGCTATAAAATGGTGGATCTTTCCAGTTCGTTATTTGAAAGTTTACCAGAGGGTAAGTGCCATTAAATCCCATTAAATCCCATTAAATCCCATTAAATCCCATTAAACCATCATTTTCCTATGGTTTTCCTATGGTTTTCCTGTAGTCATTATGGGATGAAACTTGTGATTCTGTGGCGCCAACCTGCGGGATGAAACTTGGCGGATCTCCAGCTGGGGAAGCTTAAAGCCACAACGGGGACACAACCGGCGCCTACATCAAAATACACCACAAATGATCGCAAATGGAGCTTCATCCCCCAAATGATGGGTATAACCGTATAACCATGGTTGTACCCTACCCTCTGGTAAACTAACAAAACTAATTACGGAAAAACACACAATTTTCAATGGGCAAATCCACTATAAATAGCCACGTTCAATAGCTTTTTGTATGTTTACCAGAGGGTAACTGCAACACTTCTTTTTCCAATCCCCATGCTTTGACCATGACCCCCGCAACTTCACCATCGGCATCACAGGGACACTTGCTCAGGATTACAAGACCGCAACCGGCAGATCAATTCACAGCGTCTGGCATCTGGAGGATCGATGACATCTGGAAGCTCCTGGGGAAAACAACTTCCACAGCAACCGCTAAAGTCAGTGGTTAGCAATCCATGACGGAAATCATCTATCTATACAAACATAGATTTATGGACATTTTAAATTATATCTATTAATTATATATATATGTGTGTGTGTGTCTGTGTGTGTGTACATTTTATGATCCCCGTTAAACCGGGTACCGCCAGTTTATTCAAAAAAAAACATACTTGTTAAATGATGCCCCTCCGTATAAAATGGCAATTCCAATATCCATCCTTACAAATTGGCAATTCTTTAAGTTTATAAAATGGCAATTCTGGTCTGTTCAGCCACTCTGGAACCTTATATCATGGCAATGTTTCTAAACTGGTTATTCTTTACATCGCATCAAAAAGGGAGAGCGCTCTGGTTTATAAAGATTTTGACCCCCCTAAAAAGTGGGTACCCTTTAAAAACACCCCAAAAAGCGTGTACCCGGGTTCCGGTGGT